GGTTCAAAATGGAGGAAAATGGGCTCAAAATGGATGGGAATGGGATCAAAATGGATGGGAATGGGGTCAGAATTTATGGAAATGGGCATAAAATTGACAGAAATGGGGTCAAAATGGATGGGAATGGGGTCAAAACAGAGGGAAATGGGCTCAAAATGGAGCGAAATGGGCTCAAAATCGATGGGAATGGGGTCAGAACTGAGGAAATGTGGTCAAAATTGATGGGAATGGGGTCAAAATGGAGGGGAATGGGGTCAAAATGGAGGGGAATGGGGTCAAAATGGAGGGGAATGGACCCCAAACTGAGAAGAAATGGACTTAAAACTGAGGAAACTGGCCCAGAACTGACAAGAAATGGAGTTAAAACTGAGAGGAAATGGGCCTGAAACCCAGAGAAAAAATGGACCCAAACACAAAGGAAATGGCCCCAAAATTGTGAGGAAATGGACCCGAAACTGAAAGGAAATAAACCAAAAACTGAGAGGAAATTAACCAAAAAGTGAGAAAATGAACCCAAACATCAAGGAAATGAAACCAAAACTGAGAGGAAAAGAAAACTGAAACCCAGAGGAAACGAACCCAAACCCAGAGGAAATGAGCCCAAACCCCTGCTCCTGGGGCCTCCACCTTCAGGACATTTGGCACCTTTTAAAATCTGATTTATTTTTTTTTTAAATTTAATTCCCTGGGTCCCAGCTGCTGCTTCGAAGGCATCTGGCACCTTTTGAAAAATGTTTATAGATATAAACACATTTTTAATTCAATTCCCCAAGCCCAGCTGCCACTTTCTGGGCAGTTCGGGATCTTTTTCAACATTTACATTTGATTTTATTTAAAAAAATAATCATTCCCCAGGTCCAGTGGCCACTTTGGAGGGCACGTGGCACCTTTTTAAATGTATATATATGTATTTCTTTATATATTTATTTAACCCCCTGGGTCCACCTGCCACTTTGAGGCGAGTCTGCAGCCTTTATTAAAATTTTTTAATATATATATATTCATATATCTTAATTAATTTATTTCCCCAGGGCCAGCCAACACTTTGAGGGCATCTGTTATCTTTTTAAAAACCTTTTATATGTATTTTAAGTATCGTTCCTGGGTCCAGCCACAACTTTGAGGGCATTTGGTACCACATTTAAATATATGTATTATTATTTTTTTACTTGAATTAAATTCTGTGAGGTTTTAGCACCTTTTTAACCCCTTTTTCTGCTTAATTTAGTAATTAAATCTCACCTGGCTGTTAAAACCTCCTGCCACCACCGTAGCTGCCGCCGCCGCTCGAGCTGCCGTAACCACCTGTGAGAGAAAACAGCTTTTTGGAACCCAAAACTGAGAGGAAATGGACCCGAAACTGAGAGAAAACCAAAACTGGGAGGAAATGGACCCAAAATGGAAGAAATGGACCCAGAACTGAGAAGAAATGGACCCAAAATCCAGAGGAAATGGACCCAAAATGTAGAGGAAATGGACCCAAAACCCAAAGGAAATAAACTCGAAACTGAGAGGAAATGGACCCAAAGCAAATAGGAAATGGACTCAAAATAAAGAGGAAATGGACTCAGAATTTAGAGGAAATGGACCTAAAACTGAGAGGAAACAAACCTAAAACTGAGAGGAAATGGACCCGAAACAAATAGGAAATGGACTCAAAGAGGAAAGGGAGGCAAAATGTAGAGGAAATGGACCTAAAACAAAGAGGAAAGAAACCCGAAACTGAGAGGAAATGGACCTGAAATGTAGAGGAAATGGACCCAAAACAAAGAGGAAATGGACTCAAAGAAGAAAGGGAGGCAAAATGTAGAGGAAATGGACCTAAAACTGAGAGGAAATGAACCTAAAACTGAGGAAATGGACCTAAACCAAAGAGGAAAGAAACCCGAAACTGAGAGGAAATGGACCCAAAACCCAGAGGAAATGGACTCAGAGAGGAAATGAACTTGAAACCCAGGGGAAATGGACCGAAACTGAGAAGAAACAACCCGAAACAGAGAGGAAACAACCCAAACCAGAGAGGAAACAACCCAAACCAGAGAGGAAAGGGGGGGGGGGACCCCAAAACTCCCCCAGGACTCACCGCCGCCGTAGGGCCCCGAGCTCCGGCCCCCGAAGTTCCCGCCCTTCATGGGCCCAAAGTTGGAGGACTGGTTGTTGTAACTGCCAAAGTCATTGTAGTTCCCCCCACCGCCGAAATTGCTGCCTGGGGAGGGGGGAGAGGTGGGAAATGGGGTGAGTGTGGGGAAGGGAGGGACATTAAACCCCCCACCCTGAGGGTTTTGGGGGTTTTAATGGGGAACCCAGAGGACATGGAGGGGGTTAAGGGACAGACTGGAAGGATTTGAGGGCTTTGGGGGGTGGGATTTAGGGGGAACCCAGGGGTAGTTCATGGCTGGGGG